GCTGATAACACAAGACAAACTAGATATTGGCATAATCAATTGATACCAACACCTATTCCCCCACTGGCATTTGCAAACAAATCAGCATGAATAATACAGTAAAATTTTTACTATCGAGACAGAGTTTCACTAAATTTCCCAGGTTGGCCTGAAACTTTTGAGCCTCGTAACTCAGAAGTGGGATTACAGGTGTAACCACACGCTTGGTTTGTTTGCAGGCATTTTTGGTTGTCACAACTGGGGAACTGCTGTTGGGATCTATAGTAGTGAATAGAGAGCAATGGTGCCTCTGAGCAGCTTCTGGTGGACAGGGCAGCTCCTCTTCCCCCAAGAACTATCCAGTCCAATATATCAACAATGCTGCTGTCAGAAACCCTAGCCTAAGATACATGGGCAGGGCACCCACATGACTTTTATAATGATATAGCTCATACCCAAGGATGATATTTGTGACAAATAGCTTATTTTCAAATGACATTTTGCAGGCTAGATGAATAGCATTAGTTGTTTTTTGTCTAACTGTGAATGTGAGTACAGAATGTGCCATGATAAAAGGTTGGTTGTTATTCTTCCTAAACAGGTTCGTTAGGAAAAAGAGTAAATGAAGATTTTGCTGGCTGGGTACCATCAAGCCCAGGAGTCTTGAGTTCCAAAATCATGATGCTGTGATGGGAGCTTATATGTGTTGGGAAGACAATGCCACTGGCACCTGATAACCTCACAGTATGGACAAGAAAGGGATGAAATGTTAAATGTGCTCAGAGCTTTCCTTCAGTGAATCTTAAAAGTAGGAAATGTGGTGAGATTGTACGTTCATGAACTCTTCAAACACTGAAACTAACCAATTTTTAAAATCCTGCTGTATAAAATAGAGAGAAAAGGCTGCTTTTCAACAGGTATATCAGGAAAGCTGCCCTTTCTTCTAAATAACAACTTCTTAGTTGAAAATAACCTTTTTCTGCCTTTATTTGGCCTTTTTGCTGACAGTGCAAATTGCCACAAGGATGTCTTTGCCCGCGTAGTAATGAGGAAATCCAAACCAAAGATGGTGGTGATGCTCCTGAGATTGTGGACTGAACCTTTGGGATCTTTGTTTAAAACAAAAGTCACTTAAGCTGTGCATTTATTCTGTCTGAGATTGTGGATCTGAGCTTGACATGCTCAGAAAACCAAGAGTTTACTCTTCCAAAAAACATCTGAAAATGAATTCCATTATAGTCTTTATATTCTGGATCAAAGACCAGCAGGAACATTTGTACCAGATTTATAAAAGGGACATTTCTATCTTCCGATAAAGGTGAATAGGAAACTTGTTTGCTTTTTGGGTTCCATGATATTTTGTCTCACAGAGTTCAACATTTTAAGCCTTGAAACACATTCAGAAGTTAATCTGCCTGTCATATGTGTGAAATAGATCAACAATGCCCGTTCCAAGTTTCCTCCTGTGACACTGTGCTCGGCCACTGTGTGGGTTGGGGGTTAGCGGGCTCTGGTTCTCAGCAACCATGTGCCCACCTTGATTACAAAAATAATGTTAAATCCTTGTCAAATGCCCTTTTTCCTACAAATGAATGTATCTTATCCTTTAACAACCCTGGAGGGCAGAGATTATGATCCACATTTTGCAGAGAAGAAAATAGACTTCATGGGACTTTGCTAGGACTATACAATGAGAAAGTGAACAAGGACAGTGTTTGAACCAAAGTCTGATTCCAAACTCTCTCTGCAACTACTGCTTGGTATAGTTTATTAACCTGAGACTAAATATATTCATTCATTCATTAAACAAATCTTATCACATAGCCACTTATGTCAGGAACTGCTAAAACTGTCACTAAGAATACAGCAAGAAACAAAACAGATATCCCTTGACAGCACTTACATTCTGTGGAAGGAGACGGATAATGAGTAGACAGCACGTGATGGAGATGTAAGTGATATGAAAAGCATGGAAGAGGACAAGAGGGTGCTGTGTAAGTGCTAGACATTGCAACTTAAAATAGGCTGGTGCAGGGAGGCCTTCCTGAGAAGTTGGCATTTGTAAAAAGACCCACAGTCATGAGGTGGAGAGCCATAGAGTCACCTGGGGCAAAAGCACCTGAGACAAGGTAAGTCACCACTAGGACCAGGATGAAAGCATTAGTATCTGAAGACAGCACAGCAGCCAGTATGGCTGGAAGAGAATGGAGAAAGTGGAGGAGGGGGCAGTGGAGTCACAGAGTGAGGGGGATCAGGAGGGATGGGTCAAGTAAGGCCCACTGCCCTTCAGTAAAGTCACTGGTGTTTACCCTGAAGTGAGGTTTTGTGTGTGGGTGGTGTGATCAAGTGTAGCAGTTTCAAAGAACTACTCTGTTGCCTGGAGAATATACTGGTAGGACAAGAATAGGGAGCAGGAAGATCAGTTAGGAGGCGGTGGCAGTCATCCAGAGCGCCATGACTGATGGACAAGGGGGGTGACAGGCACTGTGGAGAGAACGAGTGGGACTGAATGCAGCTGTGTATCACTGAACCTCAGGGACACATTCCGGAAAGTGCATCATTAGGTCATGTGAATGCCAGGAACACAGCCTATCACAGCAAGCCTACTACACAACTGGCCTCTGTGGGACCATCACAGACCTATGACCCATCACTGACCAAATGGCTTTATGCAGTCTGCGACTGTATTTGAAGGTTAAGCCAGTAGGGTTGGCTGATGGGCCAAGATTTTTTAACCTAAGCAGCTGGGATTATGTATTTGCCATTTATGGAGGCAGAAAAGCATAAGGGGAGAAGCATTTCGGGGAAGGAGTTCAGAGGTTTGTTTTGGGGCAGTTCACCTTCATTTGGGGCATTTTAAAGGTCCCTATTGAACATCCAAGTGGGGATCCTGATAGGCAAGTGGACTGATGGTCATGGAGATGAGACACAGGTCACAGATGAGACTGTCAAAGTTATCACTTTATCCATGGCATCAAAACCCTGAGACTGCATCAGAGCAGCATGGACTTCTGTGTGAGTGGAAAAGGCCTGCACCACAGAGCAGAGCAGTGTCTACTGATGCATGGGGTGAACTCCCTGAGTTAAGCCCTGTTTCATGCCATCTGGGAAATATGGCCAGCAGCCCCCAGAGGGACCCCCCAGAACTGCTCATCATGAAGGAGCTGTGTGCGAGCAAAACTAAAGGCATGGCACTGACCCATTCCCAAGACACACACTATCTTAAAGAAATGGTGATCTGGAATTACGCAAGAGCTCAAGAATTCGTGAGTCAAATGGATGTTAAAAGATCACCATAGGAACACAGAAAAGCATTCCCAATGAGCAGTTCAATTCAAAAGAGAGAGCCAATGTGGCAGCACACTCCTAAAACCCTAGCACTTAGGTGGTGGCTGAGGCAGGAGGATCATGAGTTCAAGGCTGGCCTCGACTACACAGTGAGACCCTGTCTCAAGTAACCCACTCACACTCACACACACACAGAGGGAGAAAATATGGTCACAGGACCTCAACAGACCTTCGGTGATTTACTTGGAAAGAAACTGAAATCCTGCCTCCGGCGAATAGCAGAGCCAGTGGGAATTAACTCTTCTCTATGTGGAGCAAGGACGTAGTCAGGCAGGATGGGCCGCCCTCGGGAGTCCCCGTGACTGAGGGCTTCCTGAGGCACCAGGCTGAAATCACACAGCCCAGCAAACCAGGTCGGCTGTGGCTGTAGGATCACACCAGAAGGAAGTGGCCCCATACTGAGCAATTTGGCAACACATAATGGAAAACAGCCTCTGCAACCATTTAATGTTAGTCTGATGGGTGTCATTAAAATCTCTTAGTGATGGTGTCCTATCCCCAGTTCACATGTGATTAACCCTTTCATTTCCAGAGGGTTTCAGAATCCCTCCTAAGCACTGCTCAGTGCAGCCCTATAGTTTAGAGCCACAATGCAAGATGAAAAAGCATGACAAAGGGATATCACAGTGACCAAAGACAGGCTGCAGGGACCTCTTGAGGCCAAAGAACCATCTCTGAAGACAAGGCCACTAATCCTGTGGTCAGGGGAACTTGAAGTGCCAGTGACTCCCCAATGCACGCCGCATTGTAAGCCGTCTCCACTCCCCAGTGTATGCCGATCTTGCTCTCTGCTGAGCCTTTGAATGTTGCCTCTGCCTGCAATTTGACTCCTCACATGTATACACAGACACATGTACACACACACACACACTCCAGTGTTCTACATAGACATCACTTCTGATGCTTCTGTGGTCACCTAAGCTCATTCCTGTCACAGCGTGTGGCATCATTGCACCCTAGCTGGTCTGTATTCCCCAATCAACTAGGACACAAGTTGTTTTTTTCTCCCTTTGCACCTCACACCACAGGTGTAAGCCACTGCTGGGCATGGAGTATCCAAGCCGTAACCATTTGAATGGCTGAGGACATCGTACTCATAGATGTTTCTCATCACATACAAGCACCTTTCCTAGCTGTTAGTTCCTACGTGTCAGATGCACAACACTCAGCAGGAATGAGCACAGAACCAAGAGTGAGATGAGACGAGGTGCATGACCACTGAGCAGGCCGACTTTACAGAGCATGGAAAGCCAACCAGCTCATCAAGCCCTCTCATTTTACAGGGAGAAAAAGAACCAGACCGGCTAGGGGAGAGGCCACCTAGGTGTGGCAGAGCTGGGATTAAAATCTGGTTTTTGATTCATCTGTGGCTTGTACAGGCCTTCAATATTCTCCTTCAACCACACTGGTGTCTACTTTTTCTTTCTGGGCAATAGTTAGAATTGTTCTTTCCCCTTATGTCCCATTTCTGTGCTTAGACTCTAGCATCCTTTAGTTTCAGAGCTTGGCCACAAATATAACACGACTGCAGTTGCGAAGGTCAGCAGCAGGACCCTCAGAGCTATTCATGGAAAGCCAAGGAGCACCCCTGTGAAGAGCATCGTATCCCTCTTGTGGATGGTAAAGCCCAAATGGAAACATAAAGCCAAGGACAGCACAGCATACACCTGAACTTTTGCCACTTTTGTATTTTATTGTGGAACTGAGTTTTTTTTTTTCCTTTACATCAAATATCCTCAATGGAAGAGGGGATATTGCACACAAATATCATAAAAGCACTACATATTACTTTCACTGGAAACTAATTTTCTACATTAGATATGACTGGATAGGATAGAAGTGATGCAGGGTTATAAGACATAATACCATACACAGCTGCAGACTGACACAAACACCACTCAGAACAAGAGAGAGGGGTGCGAAGTGCTTCTCGGCAGGCCCAGGGCCGCTGCTTTCCGGGCTGGAAAGGTCAGGACGTGCGCGGCGTGGGAAAGTGTGACTGGGAGCCGCCCGCCCGGCGTGTTCTCCAAAGGGCACCCCCGTCTGAGCCTCTTCCCCGTGGCTCCTGTTTGGGGGAGCTCCAGACAAGTACAGAGAAGCAGTTTCTTTTTTTCCCTTTCTTTTCAGTTTTTGATGCTGCCTTTTAAATGAACGTCATAAAGTCACAGATTTTTTAAAATAGTAAATATATTTTAATACCAGGTGAGTAACCTAATTGCTTTCAAAGAACGCTCATCCCTAGGCTGCTTTTGGTGTGTTGTTCAGTTGGTGAAAAGACAAAAGCTTCTGTTCCTTTCCAACGGAAACAGGATCTTTTCTCTTAAATCTGAGGCGCCAAAAGAAAAGTTATTATCCTAACTCACAATATCATTACTGAGTAGGAACCTCCTGTGACAGGTGACTAAAGAGCGGCAAGAAAAGCAATTCCAGAATTGTAGAGCAGCTCCCAAGAGCTGAAATTTGGTAAAAGAGGGAAAATGAAAGGTGGTAAAATTTCCATTAGCAACTGATTAAATCTTATTAAATGAGTACTGGAAAGCTCCTAAACTTCTTAAGCTATTGGAGACACTTAAAACATTCATATACACTGGGGAAACCATTCACTATGATATGTAACATTAAGAAAAAAAAATTTTTTTTTCTTTTGAACTCCATGGAAAATGGTGTTGCGGGGAGGGTCATAATTGTATCCAGTCCCACCACAAGACTGAGGAAGCATGCACAGGGGTCAGGGTCTCAAGAAAGGGGACAGAATTGGTTAAAATTGAAAATGGAGGATCATCTCTAACATTTAGTCTCTGCAGAATTTTGTTTAAGAACACTACCCAAAAGGTCATGATCATGAGCGCTATCTTGATCGAATCCCATCACTTAAACAGAATGGAAACTCCTTCCACTCAAATAGTCAATCTATATAATCAGATTGAGTAATCAGTATAAACAAAGTTCCTAGAAGTCTGTGTTGGTATTGAGTTTACACCATGAGTGTCCATGGTACTTTATGATGGCTGTTACTAAACTAACTGTACTTATGGAACTAGAAAAATTAGGTTAGTCACTCAGGTAGGAAAGGTATCTAGAAGGACAGGAGCAACCTGTAATGCAAATATTGGTTTTCCTGGTATACTCAGGCTCTGTGGCCATCATTGAGCACAAGAGATGGAATATGGTACTGACAGATTTCATAGGAAAAAGAGCCAGCTGACCAGTGACAGTTTTTTCTATTTCTCCCATTAAACCCCATAGTGGGGGGGGGGAGTAAAAAAAAAATAAGGATTGGGGTTGAGTGATTAAAACTGAATGCTGGCTATAATTCTTCTAAAATGTATTTTGAAAAAGCGAAATAATATACATGGTTAAGAAACTTAATTTGGGAAACTGGAAAATAACTCATCAAAGAAAAATCAACCAGAGGTCTAGATTTGGCAAGAAGGCTAGAAATCGTTTCTCTCCCCACACATTATGTGGACCAACTCAACAGCTAGCCGTTAGGTAATTGTCTTGAGTATTTTAGATTTTCTCATGAAAGAAGTTAGAAGTGATGAAATCCATTTTTGTTACAATGACTTTTCCATCACATGTAAAACTTTTGTACCCTTAATGTGTTATTTTTAAGGACTTGGAAAAAAAAAAACAGGGCAATAAATAAAAACTGTATTCCTAGAGAAGCCTAACAAAAATAGAATATTAATTTTCTTAAAAAAATTAGACATTTGGAAAATGTAATTCACAGCATTAAGTAGACTGCATAGGTCCTCAGTGAAGGGACCCTGAAGAAGCATTGTTTAAACCCTCATAGTAGTTAGCAGTGCAAAACATACACATCACAGACAAAAATAAACTTAAATGTTAAATTTTGAAATAAATAACTAACATAGAAAATAAAATGAGGTCATTGTTCACTACTCCGTAGATCATAGAGTCTGCAGGAAACGTAACGTGACAGAGCACAGGACAGTTGTCACTGAGAAGTTTGCCACATCTGAACACTGGGTGCACTGGTCTGCAACCCGAAACCTGACGTCAGCTGCCATCATGATCTGGCTTCCCAGGTGCGTGGTTCAGTGATGACAGTGATGGACATTATGTCAGAATTCTACATGATGAACGCAGGAGTTGGGAATTCATTTTGTTTTCAAGCTATTTTTTTTTTTTTTCCAGAAAAGAAAATCCCAAAGCAAATTTGTGCTACGGTCCTTTTGAACTTGGCTCTTTTACCTCATGGTTGAAGATCTTGAGAGAAGTATGTAGGGTACCACTGGGTGATATACTCGCGAAGGCCCTGAAAAATAGCCTACCATGCCATTCGCTCCCACTCTCAAATAGCACATACTCAGATTTTTATGTGATGGGAACCAAGGGGTGGGAGGTATCCTTATTCCTCGTAGTTACAGGTTTCTAATAAATATTATGACTGCAATATCAGACTTCAGTCTTGCCACAACTTCAAAAAACATTATTCATTTTTTTTGTCTTACGAAACACTTAAAAAAAAAAAAGACTTTATCACTTGAAAGTTTTCTTTGCATATTCCTGTAAATTAAAACATTTGTTAAAAAGTTCATCTATGAAAAGTTCTCACATAGCTAAAAAAAAATTCTGCTGTACACTTGTTCCCATAATTTTGTTGAAGTTAATGGAAATTAAAAAAGCCAATGTAAGACAAAGGAAGGTAAATACTGTACACTTGCTGAGAACCTCTTCCACCATAAGATTCACTGCTTTCCCAGTTCTGATCCCAGAAGCCATTTCAATCTTGAACTTGCAGTAGTAAAGAAGCTATGAAAGGCACAACTTGTTTGACTAAGAGGCCACAGGTACACTGAAGTGGTATTCAACACGCATGACCCAGCATCAAACTGTTGGACCAATCAGATCAGCTTCTAGTACCCCCACACTTGAGCACACATGGGCTCCTTTAACTGGAGTATCTATAATCCTACACGGATGTTTTATAAACTTGCTGTCTCACATTAAAAAATAAGTGCATCAAGTATCTTTGTACATTCAAGTCACTTCCTAAGGCAAACTGTCTACCATATGTACTCCCAACTGCTTTGGTATTTGCTTCAGTTAATCAGAGTGGACATGGGTGTTGCTGCATGCAGGTTAATTGACTCGGTGTGGACCACGTGGGTGGACAAAATGCTGGGAGCGTGCCTTAGATCAATGTGTGTGGTTAGAGTCAGAGAGTTCTGAATGGGGCTCGACCACTTGTGTCTAGTCTACACTCAACTACATCATGTCAGTGTGCAGTCTTCAAAGTGAAGGCGCTTGATAAGGTGTGAACATCTCACATGCTCGCATAACAAGTTTTGTTCTTTTGTTTTCTTCTAGCCACACTGCTTTAGAAAAGTAAGACCCTTTTTGACGACTCAGACTGACAAAAAAGGAAAACACTGCCTATATCGACTACAGAATACCTACTGCCAGAGAAAATGCAGACCAAACCGTTGGTTTTCTTCTCTTCCCCCATCCTGCTCTCTCTTCTCTCTTGGTATCTCACCAGAACGCTCTACCATTACATCTCCTTCTCGTGCATTCTCCTTTCTCGTGCTTTATCTCTTTCTCTCTCTCTCTCTCCTGCATCCTTTTTGTGTGCTCCCTCCCTCCCTCACTCCCTCTCTCTCTCTCTCTTTCTTTCTCTCTGTAAGACAAATGTCTCTACCTAGCAGAAGTCAGTTGGGCTCGCTAGTGCATGGTTTCCAAATGTTCAGCAGAGATGAACTGGGGTAGGTAATTTTGCAGTAACTTGAACCCTACTGTGGGAATACTGTTACTTCCCTTAGCAATCAGCAAAAACGGAGACTTGCATCACCATGACACAGGATAGCATTTGGCAGGTAATTGTTCAGCGACTTAATCAGATGAATTGATGGTTTAGAAAAGGTAGTTTCAAATCGAAGAATTTCTGGAGACAAAGTTCAAATCCTGTGGTGTGGCTGGCCTTGTTCATTACAGTTCTATCTTGCATGCAGGGAAGGACTCATCTTGCATAACCACCGTGCTGCTGCTTGCTAAGACCATGATGTTGAGGTCTTGCTGTTTCTCATGGGTCTCCTGGTACCATTCCCTCATCACTTCTGAGTCGTGAGTTGGGATCAGAGTCACCTGCAGGAAGAGAAAAGAGCCGAGTAAGGGCACACACATGAACCAGATGAAAAAAATAGAACAAGGTATTAGAGCATCAGACAAAAAAAAAAACTAAAAAATTGTCCAATTTTCAATAGACACAGAAAGGATTTTTCAACTTATATTTTACAGGAACCAGAATAAAGCTGGCAGGAAACTGAAGACTAGTGCTAAAAGCAAGCTGACTTGAAATAGTTGCTTTTATCAATTAGTTGACTTTTCAGTTAAGATGCAGTGTCTTCTACTTCCTTTAACACAGCTGATACATTTTGCATGAAAGATAATACATATTTAATCCAAGGAGTTTCAGTTATTATTAAAGCTCAAAGCCTTTACAACCCCACCCACTAGGTAGATAACACTGTGCCGAGGACAAAGATTTGTATTTGCAATTCATGTATGTGGCTGGGGTTGGAGAAGTGGGGTGTTTGGGTAATGGCCTGAACAGTAAAATTTCCATCTAATATTCAGTAGGAGGTCACTGTGTGCTTTCCATTAGATTTCACATGATTAACATAGACTACCAGGTGATTCTATGCAGACTCATGAGTTAAGTAAGCAAAGATTACAGCTGGCTTGATGGGGTGGCTCATAGCCAAACATGTGGTCTGGGAGATGGAAGGTTCCTTTGGAAGCAAAGCTCCTACTATGGAATTTCACCTGCAGGTGTTTTCTAAATCATCATGTTCCTAGCTTTCGTCTACCCACAAAACACAGAAGAATAAAAACAACTCTCCAGCAGCTCTCCTGTGGAAATATAACCACTTTGATTCACACACAGTACTCAGTACATTGGGGGAAGGGCAATTAATTTTGGGCCTGTTTCACAGATACAGTAAAATGACTTATGTCTCATGTAAGGTGGTTTTCCTCCAAGGCAATGATTGTTGGTGCTATCAAGAATACTACTTTAGACAATCTTCTGTATATAAAACTGACTCTGTCCTCAGGATATTTCATGTGTGACAGATTCAGAAAGCAGCACACAAGGATCCATACTAAAAAAGATGACTCTTTAGACATTGCTCCCTCCCCTGCTTCTTGGCCCAGCTCTGCTACAGCACAGACAGTGTCCTGGAGCTCTTACCTGCATGTTGCTGCCCCACTGGGCCTTCCCTTCCAACAAGGCATCCAGCACAGCCCGGCTGGGCTCCTCGGCAGCAGGGTCATTCCCACTCACCACATAGTAGGATGACCGCACCCTCTTGAAAAACTCAACATCAACATTCTTACTATTGCTGTGGTTGGGGATGTAGCACAGGTCCAAATACACAGGGAGGCCTGGGGGCACAGTGGAGGACTTGGCCGTTTTTGTGGTACCTGGTCCTTTAGTAAACAAAGATAAAGCAAGGGTCACAGTAATGTAAAAAAACCTGTATCCAACACACCGTCCCCACAGCATCCAATACACCTTCCCTGCTCATCCCCAGGCAGGTCCTCTGGGACATGCAAAGAGGTACCAGTATGTCCATCTCCCTGTTAACTTGTAGACTGCATCTAACACTAGCAATCATACCATAGATGTTTACCAACCACGGCCCAAAAGGAGAAGTAAAGAATGGGATATTATCCGTAATGGACAACCCAAGCAATGGACAACAGAAGTCATGGGTTGTCTATTACAGGTAAGTAGAAGAGTTTTAAGTAGGAAGAATTTCAAGGCCTTTCCAAAACATGGCATTAGATAATAATACTGCTCCTAAAGGAGCTACTAACCTGGGCTTTAATTTGAAAAGTGATCTAAGAAACATTTAGTTGAAAGGAAGCATTTGTATCTGGCTAACCATGGTCAAATGACCTTGTAATTCACATTAGTAATTCACATTAGGGTCTTTTCTGATATCAATTTTATCCATGGCTGATGGTATGTCCTAACATTTCACCTAGTAAATGGTTCAGATCCTAACCCCATGAGGTCTCCAGCACCCTCAGTACCTCAGCCTCATCCATGATCTGAAAAAACACTGTATTCTCTCCCTAACACAATGCTCCTAACTGATACCCTCATCCTCAGGGCTGGAATCAAGTTTTGGTGTAAGAAGCTCCAGAAAGGCTAGCTAACCTATCCAGACATACCTGAGTGAGGAAAAAGGCAACCAGTAGCCCAATTTCCCAGCCTAAATCAGAAAGGCCTGAGCAAAGTAGAGATTCAGATGAACCCCGAAGCATCCTGGCACCCTGCATAGGGAGCTTGCTCGCTGACTTGTCCTAGTTAGAAGATTTACAGTAGGGCATTTGCCTGGCATGCGTAAGAACCCAACTTTAATTCCCAAACATGCAAGAAATAAAAATGAGTTTCCATTCTAATAATTAACATGTCTGCAACTGTGCCTTGAACGCTGAATTACTACCATCAACACCAAATGAATATTGTTCACTGGAACCCAAGCTGGAAATTGTCAAAAGTCCACTCAAGTTTGTTTTTAAAAGCAATCGCTCAAATTTGTCTTTTCAAAAAGCATCGTCAAAACTAAATTAATTCATCTTTGTTACTCTGGCTTTTGGGTTATTTCTTCAAATGTTCAAAAACAGTTTTTTAAAGAAATCAGTTTTGTGGACTAGCAGAAGGTATGTCCAGGCATAACTGGTAGCAGTTTTCATCTGTTTGGGCACCAGGCTTTTACTCCTGAGTGTTGGTCAGCTGTCAGCTCTTTCAGGCCAAAGATAACAAATGTGTCCATGATAGTTTTGTGTATATATATATACACACACACATAAATTCTGTCCTGGTGGTTATAGGATCATTCTAAGCAGGCATAAATTCAGGTGGTTCTCTGTATGTAAAAAGACCAAATTTGATGAAAATGTTAGTCCTAAAATTGAAGCAAAAATTTCACTGGGTGCAAGCATCTCTCAGCTTTTCCCTGATAAATCAAGGAAATGCTTTAATTTTTTTTCTTTTGCTTTATGTGTTTGGGTCAATTTATATTACGTTGTGAAGTATGATCTAAAATCCTTGGACAGCCGTACATAGCCAAAAAAAAGTATTAATGTAAATCCTTGTGAACAATTTAAAGCAACAATACAAAGTTGGGTTAGCAGAAACCAGTTCTAGCAAAAACCCCAGCCACTGGTGAGAAACATAAAAATCTGGGAATTGCTGGCAAACACGAATGAGCAGAAGTCAGAGACATCTGCAGTGGCCAAGTGGAATTTCAATCTGAAATGACGTTGTGTGTCTTGTTAGTGTGCCTTGGGTGAGACAGAAATGAGGAAGAGCTTCAGCACCTTCCTCTCCACTTATAGTGGGCACTCACTGCTCAAATGAAAGGATAATATTTGCTACTGGATAAGGAAACAGAACAATGCCTTTTATAGGGACGCACCACCATAGTGAGCCTTTAAAAATAAAAATCTTACTTTTTAACTTAAAATTTTTCATATAAAAGAAAGGATGCTACATCTTGGCCTAGGCTCATCATTTCGGGGTTGGCATGGAGCCTCTGGTTCTCATTAGGCCTTTGGGAGCTCCCGGCCTAGGTCACCCAGCTTCTTCCAGGCCAGCACACCTGAAGCCAGTCTTCAGAGCAGCCTGAAACACACATCCTAGGTCCTGAAGGTTTAAACAGGGATTCAGGGGCTGTATTCCAGGAAGCTGCAAACCCAGGATCCTATCTGAGTTCATCAAGCTGCACTAGGCCATATGCTGAGCCATCCCCAGGCCTGCGGGCCACAATGGGCCACAAGATACACACCTTTAGACGGGACAGAATAGCAGTGGGGAAGGAAGACCTTCATTTTCCCAGAACAAATGGAAATATAATGGCTCTCAAGAAAAGGATGGTTGTAGCCAACATCAACACCAGGCACCCTCCGCCTACCTGCAGTCGCGGTCTTTACTGACTTGGAGACGTTGGCAGCATTCTTGGTCTCCTTGTCTTTCTCATCCCCACGTGAAGCTTTGACCTCAGGAGTGGCGGTGGTTTTTGTTGCTTTTTCCACAGACTCTTTCTTCTTAGGAGAAGCCACTCTCGACACCTTATCTGAAGGTTCTTTCAAGGGCCCTGGTTTTGGTGAAGCTGCTGAGGGCTTGGACTTCCCATCACCTTTCTTGACAGGTGAGGAGGACTTGGTCTTGGTACCTGGCTTCTTGGTCTTGGTCTTTTCTTTTAGATCTTTCTTCAGAGCTTTGCCCAGGTTCTGCTCAATGGCTAAGGCCTCTGGGTCCACCATGGTCACGTCAGGATGTCGTGGAGAAGGGCTGCGGTCCTGCATGGGGGCCGGAGGTGGGTCCATGTGTTTGTATGTGACCGTTTTATCTGTGGGGATAGTTTCTGACTCATCTTCAGAGTCGATGTTTGCATCAGCTGTGATGGAGGGGCACTCTTCCGTCTCTGGGGGGACGTCAGAGTCGGTCTGGGATGGGGCCGACTCACTCACTGAAGTGGGAGGGGTTTCGTCACACTGTCGGCCCTGTTGTTTTCCTCCTGGAGGCGGAGGGGCTCCCCCTGACTGAGTGAGGGGCTTCTCGGATTCTTCAGTGGGCTCTTCACTGGCAAACCACTCCAGAGGATTGGGATTGATGAAGGAGGGTGAAAGCTCTGTCTTGGGATGCTTGTATTCACAGGAGGACACAAGGCATAAATCAACCTCCTGGCGGGCCTCCGAGGGAGACTTCTTCTCTGCAGAGTAGCATCGGTCTGAGGTCTCATAGGAGTATGTAGATGCCTGGGGGGTCTTAGTGATTTTCTCCATTGTCTCATAACAGTAAGTGGAAGAATCAGGGCTTCGTGTCATTTTGGTAGACATCTCATAGGAGTAACTTTCAGACTCAGGGAAACTGGTAATTTTCTCCGTGGTCTCACAAGAGTAGCTGGTGTCCCCCAGTGTGTGGCCACCATCCTCAGAGTCATCATAGCCATTGCTGATGTCATCCAGGAGCCTCCTAGACCTTTCAGTCGCTTCATAGCTGTAACCGCTCACTTCAGGGGTCCTTATTGTCTTCTCGCTGATCTCATAGGAGTACCCACCTTCTTCGGGGGTCCGTGTGGTCTTCTCAGTAATTTCACAGGCATAGCCACCATCTTCAGGGGTCTTGGTCTTCTCAATGGTCTCATAGGAGTAACCACTGTCACACGGAGATTTCACGGTTCTCTCTGTCTTCTCATAGTAATAGCTGCCCACATCTGGGGTCCGAGTTGTTTTCCCGTAGGATTCGTAGTCATAATCGTCTTCATCTGGGGACCCGGTGGTCTTCTCAGGCTTTTGATAAGCATAGCTAAAGTCACCAGGTACCTTCTCTCCACCATCCTTCTCAATACCAGATGTGGTCAAATCTCTATCCAAGGTGAGATGATGCTGCATTGTGTCGAATAACATCGAGGCCCGGAAGCCATAGGGCTCTGCGGATGCTGAGTCTACTGGTGGAGAAGAGGAGGTGCGGTGCACTGCTGTGCTCTCTTTCACTGCAGAGGTAGAATCTGAAAAACCAGGGGAATATGAAGGAGAGGACTCTCGTGGGGTGAGTGGAGAGATATCAGATTTGGGAGAGAGCTTCTCTCCTTCCAGGCTCTGTACTTTCTCAGAGGTGAGCGAGGCATATAAGGTCATATCTCTGGGAGGAGCAACGTCAGATAGAGTGTCTTCTTGAAGGGGAGAAGCTATTTGAGAAGGGGTATGAGCAGAAGAGGTGGAAGGGGAGGCCTCCACCTGAGACACCGAGATGAGCTCAGAGAGATCATTATCTTGGGTGTAGGACGGCTCCTCCGCCAGGGGGATCTTATGTGACAAACTGGAGTCCTGCATGTCAGAAGGACTGTAGTCTACTTCAGTTGGCCCGTTTTCAGTGATGTGCAGCACACCCACACCCGCCGTTGGGTGATCTGGAGACTGGCGACTGAAGTCCATGGCAAGGGAGTGCTCAGGAGATTCCTGGCCAAATTCAATGGACATGGAGGACTGCTCCGATCGGTGATCTTGAACCGGTGTCCTGGATTTGGCAGTCTTGGGGGAGAAGTCTGGAGGAGAGATTGACATTGGCCTTGGGCATTCTTCTTTAGAGGGAGACATTTCTGTTTCCTGGAAAGTGGTGGGTGTTTGCACAACAGACACGGAGAGGGAGTCGTCTACTTCTGTGGAATGTGGGGAGCCAACTTCGGCATGCAAGGAGGGAGACACATCATCTGTTGTTGGCTCTGGAAAGGAGCTCGTGGCCACAGAGGCTGTGGAGACTGAGGCCACACCCTCCATGTGAGAGTACGTGTCTTCAGCTACGCCCTCATCGACAGGTGTGGCTGACTTGTCGGAGACAGTACCTTCGGAAATGGACATCTTGGTGTCTTCTTTGAAAGACCCAAACTGAATGACGTCTATCTGTGTTGGAGAAACATCTCCCAATTTCCTTTCATCCAAAGCCAATGCGGCATGAGAACTCATGGCTTCTACATCATCAGTTTTCTTTTCTGGACTAAAGTCTTCCTTTATTGGTATAAAGTCTGTGCTCTTCCCCTCCTGTTTGTCCTGGTAAAGGCCAGTGGAAGTCATTTCAGAAACGGGACTTATTTGGTCTGGAAAGCCTTGCTTTCCATTCTTCCCTTCAAAGGGGCTTTCGGAACCTCTACTGGGAGCCTTGTCATCCACACTCAGAAAACTTTCATAGGCAGACTCCGACCCAATCAAGGGAGGGCTGCGCAAGGGAGACAGAACTTTTTCAATGGGCGACTCTGAGTCGGGCACAGGTTCATCCATGGGGCTTACTGAAGCCCTTTCACTCTCATCTTTGGCATCACTGAATTCAAAACTCACTGGAACTGCCTGTGGTTTTTCAATGACTTCTGTTGGGAGGTGGCTGGATTTCTCTTCGGTAGGAGACTGGTAGTAAGGGGTGTGGCCAGCACTGCCAGTCACAGACTGAGATGGTGACACCACTTCCAGAGTCTTCTCCTCAGGACTGGCACAGTGTTCTTCAACTACTTCTTGGGTCACCTCGGGAGACACAGAGACTGCTTCTGCCTCCGTGGAGACTTTAATCTCATTGGGTGTCAGAGAGAAGTTCACACTACGTTCACCCAGAGGGGTCTTCTCGATGGGTGATGGTGGAGATGGACTCAGGGATGGACTCTTGACTGGACTAAGTCTTTCATCTGAAACTGCTGAGGTGGTATCTTGGACCTCCAACGTGTCGCTGGGTTTCACTGCTTTTTCTTCAGAATAATAAGCGTCGCGTAGAGCAGATCTGGTGAATTTGTCTTCTTCCATGGATGAGGGTGGCGATATGGTGGAGGCTGAAACACTGTAGTCCTTGCCCTCAGTGGCATCTGTCTTTGACCCATCAGATAAGCCGTTGAATGGTGTGACAGCAGGCTTGGTGTATTCCTGAGCATATAGCGAAGACTCGTATTTGGTGATATTGACAAATTCCTGAGATGGAGACTCTGTCTCTTCATTGTTGGTCTCATCACTCATCACGTCTCGAGGGGTAGACATCTCATCCATTGGGGTAGGCTCACTGGATATCTCAATGGTGGACTGAGTGTAGCCAGAGGTGGCGGTGAACTCCTCGGGCTGGTCTTCCCGATTCTCTTCATCAGAGGCCGTGGCCTCGCTCTCAGAGCCTCCGGGTAAAGTCTCGTCATGGATTGAAGATGCGGGTTCTCGGCCAGGAGACTGGGCTCCAGGTTGCTTGGCTGATGTGGCCAGGAAGCCATACTGATCAGTGCCACCAGCCTCTGCCGCCTTGTCCACCACGGCCATCACGTAATCTTCAGCTTCAGCCTTTTCTGGCTCGTATTCTTCCTCTCTGGCATCCTCTGCTTTGTCCTCTTCACCTTCCTCCTCAGACAGTTCGGCTTCTCCTTTCTCCACTGCCTCATCCATGTCTTCTTCTGCTCGGTCATCCCCGCTGGCTACAGACTCCCTCTTCTCCTTGAGGTGCACGTCCGCCTCCACCTTTGCACTTTCCTCCTCATCCACGGGGCTGTGCTTGGAGGTGCTCACGCACACATTCTCTTCACTGTCCTCTTCGGGCTCCTCCGCCTCCTCAGTTTCTGCCTTTTCTTCATAGTCTCCAGTCTCTGAGGATTCTTCAAAACCAGCTCCTTCGTCTTCATATTTTTCAATGTCATCCACCCCTTGCTTCTCAACCGGCTCTAGTTCCTCGGGCGTCTGCTCACATTCACCTTCCCCTTCAGTGGTAGTGATGCCCTCATCGGGGGACTCGGCAGGGCCTTTGATGACTTCTGTCTCCTTCTGGACGACGTAGGCTTCAACCGGCTCTGTCTCCTTTCCCTTCTCTTCATCTTCAATGAGCTCCAGCTGAGGCTTGATGTCCTTCACCACATCAACCTCTTCAGCCTTTAGTTCCTCAAAGTCCTTGGTTAGATCCTCAGGGGATGACATAAGGGACCTCTCGGCTTCGAGTTCTTTGGCAGGGCCAGTGGCCACGATTCCAGCAGCCGCCACGACAGCTGCTGTGGTAGCCACGGTGCCGATGGCCGCAGCCTCTGAAGGCTTGGCTTCCTTCTTAATGACTTTAACTTTTCCCTTCTCCTTTGGCTTCCCAGCAGCAACAGACTCTTTCTTGACCGTCTCTTCCTTCTTAGGTACTTTTGGCTTTAAAGCAGCTGGTTTTTTTGCTTCAGCTAGAGGAGTAGTTTTCTTTGAGTCCTTAGGGAGCTTCTTAATTTCTTTTTTGGGCTCCTTTTCTTCTTTCTTGATTTCCTTCTTTTCTTCCTTCTTAACTTCCTTCTTGGGCTCCTTCAGTGGTGTTTCCTTCTTAACTTCCTTTTTGAGTTCCTTTTTCTCTTCTTTCTTGATTTCTTTTTTGACTTCCTTTTTCACCTCTTCCTTTTTCAGTTTTTCCTCCTTCTTGATGGGTGTTTTCTCTTCCTTCTTCGCCACCTCTTTCTTGGGTTTTTCCTTTTCTTCTTTCTTCTCTTCGGATTTGGGCTTCGTGTCCTTCTTCACTACCTTCTCTTTGGCGACTTTGGGTTTGACGTCTGTGGCCTGCTTCTCGGCCACCTCGGCTTTGGCGGGAGGCTGCTCCTCCTTGCTGGCCACCTCCTTCTCTGACACCGGAGCTTTGGTCTCCGTTTTGATGGGCTTGTCTTTTTTCACTACTGCTTTTTCTTTGCTTTCGACTTTGGGAGGCTTTTCCACTTGATTAGCTTTTGCGATGTCAGGGGTTTCTTCTTTAGACTCCTTTCGCACCGACTTGGTAGGAAGTGGCTTCGCGGCTGGCTTCAGACTTTCTCGGCTGTCAGCCCTCTGTTTCAGTTTTACTTGTTTTGCGGTGGTGGGGGTGGGCACCTGGCCGGTGAGATCCTTCTGGGTGGCCAGAGGCTGCTTCAGGAAGTCTAAGTGTTTGAGCTTTTCTAGCCCTTCCAGGATGTTGTATTGGGTGCTGTTTCCAGGAAAGAGAACTCGAATGATTTTTTCAGCAGGGTTTGCTGGATGCCACACGATCAAAGATGAGACCGAAGTTAAGTAGGGAATTGGGATATCTACTTCTTGACCACTGGGCAGAATTAATTCAGCCTTGTCTTTGTTGGTGCCAGTCCACTGCTGCAGAAAGTACTGCATTTCCTTGCTGCTCTTGACTGGATTAAGCACGTACATCTCGAGTTTCCCGACTCCCATTTTTTGGAAAAGAATGACAGGCTCTATGGTATTGCCTACACTTCTAAATAGAGGCTCTGGTTTCATAGACAATTTGTTTAGGTACTGGAGAGTGAAGCAAGCTTCTTCTATGCTCCTCTTCATCTTGATGTTGGGCTCTGGGTTTTTCAGATGTTCAGGTACATTAAGAAATACAACCCCCAGGTCAGGGGAGATGAGGTTTTTCATCCAGTCACTATTGGTGGTGGAGCCTTGGGACTGCTCCTCCTCCAGCTCCGCAATCTTCCGCTGCAGCATGCTGTTGATTCCAGGCAAATTGTCATCCCCAATGTGGGTGAGCAGAATTGAGTCCACTCGGTCTAAGTGTCGGATGAGCTTCCAGAAGCAGGATTTTCTTTCTGACCCTCCGTTGATGAGCATATTGAATCCATTCACTGCGAACAGTGCAGAATCACCCCTCCCTCCTGGAAAAATGTAACAGCAGGGCTTGGAGAGCTTTAGAAATCCACCTGAAGTGGGAGGTTCCAGGATGTCAAAGGGAGACGGGACTTCCACGGATTCTGAGAGATACTCAGTGAACTCAGAAAGTCCTTCCATTTCTGGCAATATACAAGCTGAGTTGAGTTTAATATTGATGAAGTCTTGGAGATTGTGTCTGTCAAGATTGGAGTTCTTCCAGTCGCCCTCTTCAGGACAGAACAGGGTTAAACTGGCTTTGTTGGCAGGATGGGTAGTGCTCAGTAACTCACCAATCTGGGTTTAGAAACAGAGGAGGAGGTGGGGATGGGGAGAAGAGATTTAAGTAGCTGTCATTTCAGACTCATCATCTCTATCTACTGCTAGGTATGATATAGATCATTGACTTGCCCACAGGGTCAGTTTCAGAGATGCACGCACAGAGTGATGCTGACTATTTAAACGATGACATGTTAGCAGCATTCCAGAATGTGAACAACCTCTGTCCTGAGCCCCCATATCATTCCCTCTGCTACCACCAACACTTCTCTCTCCCTAACTTCTCCCCTGTAATCCTTCCCACATACATCCTTGCCCAGCAGGGAAACTCCAGTTCCCAAACCAGTGACCATCTGGTTGATCTGTGCTTCAGCCACAGCAATTGCAAACACCTTGAATTTTCCCCTATGGGGATTTACCATTTACAGATGCCCTTCAACTATGATATATTAAACTATCATAGGGGAAAGCTGTGTGAGCCATTCTCCCACTTATATAAAACCTTGTCTTTTAATCCACTGGGCTTGACAAAAGGCAGCCTGATCAGAAAATTAAAGGGATTCAGATAATAATAGTGCATTCCTTGCTGTCTCCTTTTAGAACATGTAGGCACAAAAGCAAAAAGTTTGGTCCACCCCCCGCACCATCCATAGACAGGAAGTTATACATTACTTATTACTACAAAAAAAAAAGGACTGGTTTCTGGCATCAGTACACACTACTTAAAACCTGAGTGCTTCACCCAGCAGATTCTCTGCAAATACAAATGCTTTTATTGAAGCCACAGTGATTAAAGTGGCTGGGTAATTAATGCACAAGCCAGTGGCCAAATTCATTCCCCACTTGCTCACATTTAAACCCAACATAAGACACTCTGCTTTCTCTCTGCTCCCGTTCTTTTCAGGGCAAGGGGGAATGAACGGCTAAGACCACATTTGGTTCAAATGTTTTTCGACATACTGTGTAGCACTACCCAAGGACAGGAATGTGGAAAAGCAAACCAGGACCTGAACAGTGATGGTGGGTTTAATAAAAACACTATTTTCTTTTTCATTCCATATTAAGGCCATATGTTTCACAATCTTAGCTTAGCAAATGGCAACGGAGAATCATGCCATAAATTCCAGATTTCTTTCCATTTCAGCAAACCTCATAAATAAGCTCAGAGTTTCAACAACCAAAGGCTCTGTCTCCTGGATGGCAAATGATGAAGGACAAAGTAAAGGTTTTGCTTGGTCCAGGCAACCCTGAGCTAGAAAGTCTTAACTCTTTTGGTCTCATTTTCCTCTTATAACCTGAATATTTATATTCTAAGACTCTCTCTCTCTCTGATTTCTGAATTTTTCTATATTAGATTACCTAAAATAGTCATTTTTGTTTTACTAGTCTGCTAATCCTAAGTATAACAATTTACGTGAAGGGTCACAAAATAGCAAAATAACAAAAATGTGCTATTTCTCTACAACTTAACTTCACAGTCTCCTATAAAAGGAATAAAGAATGTGGGAATAAGGATTTCCCTATTTTGGAAGCTAAGAAAACTAAAAAAAATAAATGGTAACCATCTTTGGGAGGAAATCTTTATCCCAATTATTTCCTGCAAATAGAAACCATCTTTGGGAGCATCTTTGCTCAAAATATTTACTGCTCAAACCAAACATGGGCACAAAACAGGGTTTCCTGCCCAATAATTATCACGGCCCCTCACCGCCATCACTGCCTCACAAAGAAGGCTCCCTTAGTTCTCATTTCCATGCAGAGCATATGAAAATTATTCGTGTTTTACAGTGCAATTGGGGCAAATCCAGGATGAGACTAACTGTTAAATCTTTAATAGTAAAAATTTAAACATCAGGTTTGGTTCATTTTAATCTTTTGAAATTCCACTCTAGTTGAGAGGTGGGGTGGATGAGCCTCCGTGTAGCTGGGATGAGGCAAGGATATTCAATCACTATCAATCCCAAGCTCTTCTATGTCTGTCATCACCAAATTAAAGGAGAAGGTAAGGAAGACCTGAGGAATATCTACTTTCCATCTTCTCACCTCTACCCAGACAGTTTCTAGGAACTGCAGGAAATGATTGAAAAATAATGTTGCACAGAATTCTGAGGAAATCTCAGGGCCTAAAGGACAGTCAAGAGAGGTCAGTGAGTAGAGAACTATGAGGTACAGGGCAAAGCAGAAGAGCAAGCCAGCTCTGCCGGACAAGTTCCTGTGCAGAGAGGGAAAACCTGGGTCCTCTGGAAAAACAGCAGCATCCTGTGCACGAAGAGACACGAGTGCAGAGACAAGGACTGGAGAGAGCCAGGCAGGAGGTGGTGGGGTGGGGCGAGGGCAACGGAAATGAAGCCTCCTTTCCCTGCTTCCAGACCTGCAGGCCCCCGGGCACCACGCAGACTCTGGGCCTCTGGGCAGAGGCTGTGGCTAAGAGGTCTCGACCCTCTGAAGGGATAGTGCCAGCCCGTTCTGTCCGTGCTCATCAGGGAAGTAGTGAGAACAACAAAGAGGCTCGGGCAATGGTAGCCACGGCAGGAAGCCCGGCACGGGTTAGTGGACTTGGAAACAGAAGCTTCTTCTAAATGGATTGGGAAAGTCTCTTAATAACCCCCAGTAAGAAAGATTTCTGGAGAGCAGAAACACATCTTCTGCTAACCTACATGTGGTCAGTTCAACATATGCTGTCATCCAGGAGGGGGAACCTGGGCTGTGACATGAGCCTGCTGTTACGTCAAGCATAGTCTGTTCTTGCGGTTCCTACAAGGATGGATGACTAGCGTGAAAAGCAGGAATATGGCTGTGGGACAAAGAAAGTCTTTTTTGTTCATTTTTTTCCTGATTAAATGCAGTCATACTGGAAGAGGAAGGAAAATAAAAGACATAAACAGCTTGACTGTAGATAATATAAATGAAACAAGATTTTAATTTCTAAACCATAGCCTGCTAACTACATTTCCTTTTGGATTAGGTTACGTGCTCGGCTGATGAAGAAATACTGTAGACAGTGTGCTACTGAACTGCAGCAAATTCATGGGCTCTCTGAACACCGTGACAGCAGATTAGGTGGCTCTGCAGCCGGTCACATAAGCAGTGCTTAATGTCAACCTGGAAAGAAGTCTATGATGGGCTGCCATAGAGTGAGAATTCACTCGGATAAAAATGCTGAAGACATGTTGATCAGGTCTATGGATGGCATGACAATGAGAAGCATAACAAAATATGTGGTAGAATTAAGATATTTGTGAAAGCTCTCGACATTGGGATGATGACAGCCAAGTCAGCTTTAACAGCGCAGCGTTCTAAAGGGATAAATGTAAGGTTCAATAAACCCGCAGGGTAGAGTACAGGATTGGGAGATGTGGCTTAGCCACAATATCCATGGAAAAACTCAGGGATTTTAGTTGACAGTCAAACGGATTTAACAGGAAGCTAAAGAAGCTTAAACTTCAAGGCCCTGCACCGGCATAGTCTTTTCCCTAACGCCTCGTACTTTATATATTTTATACTAATAATTGTGATTTCTTTTGTGGTACTTGAGATTAAACTCAGGGGTACTCTAGCATTGAGCCACTTGCCTCCACATTTTAAAGTATTTATTTTGAAACAGGGTCTTATGAAGTTTATTACTCAGGAGTTGAACTTCTGATTCTCCTGCCTCAGCCTTTCAAGTAGTAGGGGCTTACAGGTGTGTGACACCATGGCTGGCTCTTTTTGTTTTTGTTTTTTCCTTCAGCACTGGGAACTGAACCCAGGGACTTGCACATGCTAGGCAAGTACCACTGAGCTATGTCCCCAGCCCGTTTTTATTTTGAGACAGATCTCTCCAAGTCACTGAGTGGCCCAGACTGGGCTCAAACTTTCCATTCTCCTGCCTCAGTCTCCCAGAGTGCTGGAATCACAGGTATGTGATACCATGCCCAGCTTCCTGGTTTTTTTCCTTAATGGGATCCCCCAAATTATTCCAGTTGCAGAGCTCCTTAAAGCCTGAGTCCCTGCTTCTCTGACATTCAATCATACATGGTGATGGTAAAAGTTATTTTCAGACTTACTTAGTTAATAAAAGATTATATTGAAAAGTACAGAAGGCACTAATTCCTGGAATTTAGTGTCCAGTTTAAGGCATGACATTTTAGAGAAATTAGACCATGAACAACCTGAAATAAGTTTCCTTTGATGGTTCCTTTTCTTTGACCTTACCCTCTAAAATGACCTGGCCCTTTTCTCTCATTGATGTATTTCTCTCTGTGTAGATCACAACATCTACTGGGCTTTAAATACCTTTGATACGCAAATGGATTATAAATGAGTGTCTCTAGCTCCAGTCTGAGTTCTTCACCTCTGGACTCTTCTATCCAACTCTTTGATAATTCCAAGGCACTAAAACATGGCCAGGACTGAACTCTTGAATCTCTCCCCTGCCCACCACCTACCCCATCCACCCTTCCTGACTGAGGAACAGGTTTGAAGGACACTGCGCAGGGAATACAAGGAACTTTTAATATTTCAGGAAGAACTGTGAGTAACATTGAGGTGATTAATGGGAACTGTGTTAGTGAAGAATATGAGACTACATCCTTTCCCTGAAGATGTAACAAGATAAATAAGGAAAAGCTTTCCAACAGAGACTGGGAAATGCCCCAAGAGATTATGACCTCTCCACCCCTGGATTTCAAAGACAAATGTGATAGCGGGATGACCACTCTGTGACGCTGGTTTTATATTCGCTCTCCGATGATTAAGACTCCAGAAACCTGAAGTTCCAACTGCACTGATAATTCTGTTTCTCGGTACATTTGTTTTTAGCTATTCTTGTCAAAAAAAATATAGCATTTTTGTTTTTGTAAAACTGTGTTTCTGGTCTCTCTGCAGTTGAGTAGTACATTCTAAAGACTACATAAAAGGAAAAATCTAAATGCCAAATGACCTTTAAGGTTCTCTTGTTACTGAGGCATTCTGTACTCAAACTTTTTCCCAAGTCAGCAACAGGCTATCATTGCTGCAAAGACTGACAACGCCTGGTCTAGTCCAGTGATTTTCAACCCACTTTAGCTGTGGCATCCTGTCCTCCATGCCTGCGAGGTAAAAGAGATCATGGCTGAGTTGCTCTGATAGCGCAGGAGGGAGAGAGTGAATTCTACCCAGTTCTTCCCCTCCCTTCCCTTTCCTCCCTCACCCCAACACCACTGATCTGGAGTCTTTTCCATATGTGTCGAGCATTTCTTTCATCTCCAAAGTATCAGGGCAGGAGCACTACGAGAGTGGCAAAGAAGAATTCGACCGTTTTTGGCCTTAATGATGTCTGCCGGAGTGTAATGAGCCCACTCCTATGATTACAAACCCTGGGGAATCTGACCTTCCACAGAACTCAGATTCTTTTGGTAAGGCTGTTTCCTTTTCTTCTGTAATTAATGGCAAAATATGACAAATATACAGCCCACTGTGCCATGTTCTATGTCCATGGCCTGTAATAAAAATGATTTAATCACTAATGCACATAACACTCACTATTCTTTATCTAAAAGGGTGTGTGTGGGTATGTTTTCTTTACTTGGGGTCCAGATGTATGAAACATGACAATTCCTTATGCAAAGTCTTTCCGATGAGAAACACATTTTGGTGTATATTTCCTTTGCTTCGTTTCATGGCAAAGAAGCTAAAGCAATAATGTAGGTAGAAACCACCCACCGGAAGCTAATTGTAGACCTGCTCAGGAATGGAGAAAGGTACCCAAGGGCCTGGAAAGGAGCCAAGGGTTCAGGTTGAACTAAGCTTATAAGGAGATCCCTTAACTGCCCACCATGTCACTAGGTGACCTCCAGATCTCTGGAATAAGATGTTGATAGTGTGTGTATGATCTGAGCTCACAGCCAAATCCCAGCTGCCCGGAGTACAGCATGAACTTGAGAACACAATCTTGCAAAAGATTCTGATATTCTAGGGATCATACACCAATTTCAGAGCAGTAGGTAGTAGGCAGAGAATCATAGCTCTAACTCTAGGATTTCAATGCAGTGGTTTACTGGGCCTTTATTACACGCAGGCACAATGGATAGGGAGACAAATAAGACCTGCCTGACCCTGGCAGCCTTAGAAGGAGACAGACCACAAGCTCTGCAAAAGATGGAGCCAAGCTTTCATTTTCAAATGGTAAAGACAGACCAGCTGTTGTGAGCCCCAAAGCTTTTGAGTTGCTTTGTCACTTCGGGTGGTAACTGCTTCCCGATGTAGATGACACCACACCTTTAAGAGCTGGAGCTTCAAATACTAAGGAAGATGTCGCATTTCACAGCTTTGTATCGTCCCCGGCCCTCCCATGTGTGGGCGTGAAAATCATGTCCTCTGACCATGTTTGATGGAGGCCTGCAGGTGAGCCTAATGAGGCTGGGCAGCTGCTTACAAGGCTTGCCAGGGAGGACGAGAACACAGGCACCTCCCTGCGGAGCACAGAGCTAAGGAAGAGGACAGGCAGAAAGACCCACGGCCCTTCGCGGTGCACATAGGAAGACAGATACCAATGGACTCCTCCTGACGGGACAGCTCTTGGCCTCTCCATTGAGAAATCTACCATCACCAACGGGTGGGTCCCAACCTGCTGTGCTGATGGCCCTGAATTGTGTTGTAACTTCTATAAACAAATACATTAGATTAAAAAAAAAAAAATTATTTTAGAAATTGCCATAGGATAAATTCTCAAGCAGAAACAAGCAAATTAAAATCGCTCATCTCATTTACCAAATGCACTAACGCCCTATAGTTTTCAATACTTCCCTTGAATAAGGTGTATTTGTAACCCAGCTCCAATCCAGCTACTTCAATCATCTTTTCCTTGGGTCACAATTTTGCCCTGTTTTCCTACCTGGCTCCTTTTCCATGGGCCCTTCAGACAGGCCCAGTTCAAACTCTGGGACAGGCAATAGAATGAAAGAAATCAGAAATACTTAAGCCAGGAAAAATATGTAGAGTACCGAAAAGAGATCAAGGGAGTGACATCCTACCCGAAGCCCAAGACAGCTCTGGAGTATTCTTTTAGAACACAGGAAACCTGGATTTTCTCTTGGGCACTGTCATTTCAAGTTTCTCTATCATTTCTGCCATGTGTAAATGCTGACTGTCCCGACCCCGCCCTCTGCTCATCTATATGACAGGCACATTGAAAACAGTTCAATTAATAAAGGACGAGTGCTCCGATTCTTTGGTAATGAGCCACAGGACTAAAATACTCCGGATTACCCAGTTTTGCTTATTTCAAAGGAGCTACGATAAGCCCCACCCTTGCTCCCCAGTGTTCTCAAAAAGCAGCCGGAGTCTAAACAATAACCAAGCAACTGAAAGCTGAGGTATCCCCCAACAGGAACCCACCTCTTGATCGGTGAAAATCTCTATGAAGTTCTGGAAGGAGAAAGAGCCGGACTGGAGAATGAGCTCCCCGGTGTTTTCAAAGCACTGCCCGGTCAGCACAAGCAGCTTGTGTCGGGCAGCATCAGTGATCATCAAGCGCACCTGAAACACGCAGGGAGCAGGGTGTGAGTGGGAGGCAGCACCCACCCCACCCCTGGGGCCGTGACAGCCCCCAGCGCAGGAAGTTTACCAGCAATAAAAGGTGTTCATTTCCTGAGACTCTCACTTCTTCCCTTGGGGTACAGGCTGAGAAGGCTGGACGACTCATCCACAAACTTATTAAGTGTGGCCCTTAGTTTCCCCAAGAGTATCGTTTTCCAAGTTCCACTACAACCAAGACAGCAGTGGCGGCTGACTTTCTCCCCCTCATTTCCTCCTTCCCAAAGCAGTCTTCACAGCTGGAAGCACTTGTTCCACAGCTGTTCAGAAGTGCCTGCTAGCAGCATGCAGTCTGTGAGACCAGGAAGGACTTGCGAATGTCCTACAGGCTGAGTCACCACGTGCAGCCCAGGTCTCCTAACTGTCCCCTTAGGAAGGACAGGTTCCCACGAGGGTCCCAAGTCAGCACGACCTCTCCCCAACTCCTGTCCAAGAACCCTTTCCTTCCAAGCCGTGGCGCAAGCACATGGCTCCAAATGCAGTCTCCAGTCGGCAAGGTGCCTGACACCGAACATAAAGAAAACACTACCCCTGAGAAGCAGTCTTTGAAAGCGAGCTGCAAATGGCTTGCATTGAAGACCTCTCTGTGAACGTTAAGGGGCAGGAAGCCCATTGTCCTTCCCAGAAGCACCAGTCCAGGCACCGAGACATTTGTTCTGAGCCCAATGCATGAATGTGCAACACACACTACGTTGCCACACGTCATGCCGCGCACTAAACTGGCCACGACCCCCTGTCCAAAAGGCCACATGGAATCATGGAAAAACACATGAAACTAAGCAATGGTCTCAGCCGCATCTGCTCCACAAGCACACCAGGGTTCCTTTCAAAAGTTCCTCACTGTTTCTTCTTCATTTCTCACACTTGTTTCTCAAGCAGTCTGCCTGGACATATATTATTCTTCCAGCTATTTTCAAGTTGTAATGACCTCCTGATTCAATCAGTCATAGAGAGATTACTAGCCCATTACTTTTCTCAACCGTGTGCGCCTTAGTGCACTGTCAAAAGTCTTGCTGAGCTCAAGCAGGCTAAAGTAGGGCAAGGCAAGCTCCATCACGATAACCAAAAAAGTAGAAGCAACTCCAACATTCAGCAACTGAGGAATGGACAAACAAATAAGGTCTATCCACATAAGGAAATATTATACAGCCATAAAGAAGAATGCAGCACTGATCTATGCTATGACATAGCTGAACCTCGAAACAATTATACTAAGTAAAATAAGCCAGACAAAAAGGCCATATTTTGTAGAATTCCATTTATATGAAATATCAAACAGGCAAATCTATACAGAGAAAGCAGATCGGGTGTTGTGAGCAGCAAAGCAAAGTGAAGAGTAAATGCTCATGGGTTTTGGAGTTTTAGGGGAGTGATGGGTATGTTTTAGAATTAGTGGTAATGGTTACACAGCTTTGTATATACCCTATAAATCACTGAATTGTATACTTTAAAAGGATGCATTTTATAGTACCTGAATTATATCTCAATTTAAAAGAAACAAGATGTAACAGAGACGCTCAAAGTAAGACACTGTAGATTGCGGAGGATCCAGGAACTCTGGCTACTTGGAAGGCTAAGAAGCGACTCCACCTGCAGCCTCTAAACTGCAGGGAAAGAGATAGGAAATGGAACTATACCAACTGGTTCACCCGGGTGGCCTTGCTTCAGCCAAGTTCTTACATGTTATGCTCTGAAATTCCCTACCACTCTCTAAAAATTTCAGTCACTACGGCCACACACTGTCCTGAACACCTGTCCTCAAAGCACAGCCCAGAGAATGGACATTACTGTGACCTCCATTTCACAGAGGTGCAAACTCAAAGGCGGGCGATGACTTGCTCCAGGCCACTAGCTAAGCGGTGGCAGACCTGAGATCATTAACCCAGGTGATGTGACCCTAGCCACTACACTCCTGAGCACCGTGCAGCCTGCCTAGTAGTGGGGTAGGGTGCAGCATAGCTCAGAACCGTTCTTACAAGACTCCACCCTGCAGACATGCCCCGCTGCAGGCCTCCCAATTCCACACCCGCTCACCTCCAACAAGTGCTACAAATCCGGCTAGCACCTCCTACGTGTCCTTACTGGGAGCCGATGGGTTGAGACAGTCAGATGCAGAGAAGGTGCTGACTGCTTCAGGAAGGCCCCTGGGCCTAGGGCTTCTCTCTTCTGTCCCTCGCTGGTCCCCACCAGTCCAGCCCCTCCACAGAGAGCAGCTGGTCTCCATCCATGCATGAGGCCCCACCCAAGATGCCCTGGAGCCTGCTGCTTACCTCGGTGCTGACAGCCTCATCCGAGGGGTTGATCAGGACCACTGTTTCTAAGACGTCACTTCGGTGATGAAGGATCTTTTGTCCTGCAGGCACAAAAACACACAAAGAGGAGACCGTTAGCTCTTCCAGATGAAAGCTGCCTGCCTGCTTCTGGGACAGCACAGGAATTTCTGCCTCTGACAACAAAGTAGCACAGGGCTCAGGATTCTCTGCCCTGTCTCGGTGCTGCAGAACCGGAGGGCGCACACAGCAGGCTGATTGCAGAGCTGGGTCTGTGTGGCCCGAGCTCACAGGCTCTCACACTCTCCGGTTTTCAGGGCTGATGGAGGGGCAGCCTTCGTGCCCTAATGGTGGTTTTCATCTGAAACAAGAGGCCAATGCCAGGAAAACTCAATGGGGCTCTTGACATTTCCTTTCTCATGGTAATGGGGGATGTTTCTCCCTATCAGCCTTTCTTCTGGTGAGAACTGCGCCCAGATTAATTAGGAGACTTACTGTGAAATGAATGACATCCAGAAACCCAGGCTAACAATTAGCCCAGCAGCCAGAATGGCCGTGCAGGCAGGTTCACAGCCTGCTGGGGTAGTCACTCATTCACTTGCTCATGGAAAAGTGCAGAAACTACAAGCAAATGAAAAGCACAGAGCAACCCTCCCCCTGGACAGGATGGTCAAACTGCTTCCTAAACACAAGCAAAGTTGAGGGGGAACACAGAGCAAGGTGTTGTCAGGGACAAGGAAGCTGGTCTGAGGAGGGCCTGAACTCGGCAGGCCCCTGGTGCGAGGTCCCTGACTTCCCACATCTGGATGGGTCCTGGATCATCCTGTGGCTGAGCCAGGCCTCCAACCAAAGGAGACTGATATCTAGAAAGACAATGAAATTAGTCATCAGGCAGCTGAGCGGCCAAAGCTGGTACTGCATGCTCTAAGAAGGGGGTGCTCCCTCCAAAAACTGGGAGGGAGACAGCTGGTTACAAGCGTAGGCGAGAACAGGTCTGCTGCTTGGAAGTACAAGAAATCTTGGGCGACAGGAGGAAACAGAATCCAGGGAGATGCCTAAATGAGGGAAATACAGAGGACAGCATGACTCAAAGCAGCTAGGAAGAGAGTTCGGCAGTCCTTCCCAAAGCTAAATTAGAATTGCATGGACCCAGCTGTTCCGTTCCTGGGTAGAGACAGAAGCAGGGACATGAACAGATACTTGCATGTCTCTGTTAAGTGCAGCATTACTCACAATAACCAAAAGGTGAAATGGCCCAAGTGCCCAGATACTGAATAAAATGCAGTACACCACACTGAGGAATACTGTTCAGCCATAAAAAGAATGACATTATGCTGCTACCTACCACACACAGGAAGCTATAAAACATTATGCTAACTGGAATAAGCAAGGCACGAAAGGATAAGTACGGTATGATTTCAGTCATATGAAGCATCTAGAATAAGCAAATTCACCGAGAGTAGATTAGAGGTCACCTGGGCTACAGGAGGGGGATGTGGGGTTTTTGCTTAAAGGGTACCATTTCCTTCTTGGGGTGGTAGAAATGTTTTGAAAGCAGAGGGGATGATTATAATTAACAACACTGAATTGTACATTTAAAAACAGTTAAAATGGCAAATTACATATATTTATCATGACTTTTAAAATTAATAATGCACTGGGATTTTTAATGCACTTGGACCATTGGAATAACATATTTTACTTGGGTAAACAGAATGGCCTGAAAATTATATCTCAGAAAAGTGCTTAGAATTGCCGGACATGGTGGCGCATGCCTGTAATCCCAGCACTCGGGAGACTGAGACATGAGGATCACTGCAAGTTCAAGGCCAGCCTGAACTGCATAGTGAGACCCTGTCTCAAAAAGACCAAAAAAAAAGTGCTTAGATAAGGAAGAAAGTAGTTCAGTGTACACAGCTCATTGAGGGCTTTTTCCTTTATATCACCAAGGACCAGAAGTCTGACAGAGTCAGCTGCCCGCTGACATTCTCCTCTACCACCTACTTTTCCAAACAGCTAGCATCTGCCAATAAGCCATAATCAGACATAGAAGAAACCCAAAACAAAGGATAATGGTGCTGGGGACTGTTCTAAGGCTTTCAATCTACTGCTTCATTTAATCACTCACTTAATCCCCCAAAGAGCTCCCTGATGTAGGTGTAAGATTGTGCCTCATTACTGTGGAGGACAGTGAGCCCACAGAAGAGAATTAAGCGGCCCAGGGTCACATAGCAAGGAGGTAGGCAGACCAGGGCTTGGACCCAGGCTACCTGGCTCTAGATCCCTTTTCTGTCAGTGGCCGACAGCATTAGCTACTAGGACGAGGATTTGGAAAAACAGACAAGGCACAGATACAAAGTGCCGAAGGAGAGCGAGGGAAAGGAATGAAATCAGAGACGTGCTTAAAGGAGCAAGAAGACAGAAATAATATTGGCAAAACTAAATAAACCAATAATAGGCAAGGGGACAGCACCCCCAAGTAAGAGAAGGTGAACTTAAGCAAAAGTATAGGACATCTTACTCCAAATGCCTCAAAACAGAGAAACTCCAGAACGGGAAAAACATCATACCATTTGAATAGTCGGAGAAGTGAGGCTTAGTTAAAACTAAACTACAGAAAAGGAAGTTCATTTATTATGAATGCCACATTCTATCATTTGTCAGAAGTTGTCCCCCCCCCTTTTTGTGTTTTTTAGCTTTGTTTTTGACAACTATGTGCATTTAAAACAAAAGTCAAATAAATAATACAGTGAAAATCAGCAAAATGCATAAATGGCCTCTAAGTTCTTCTATTAGTAGCCTCCTTGGAACAAAGATTTCAAAATTTTCTAAGGCATCAAGTGGAGACAAAGTGAAACTAAAGCCAAGGCCCAGGGAGAAGTGAAGAGTCATTTTGTCACCATACAGTATTTTAATGTGGGTACCCAAAGCGGCAGGCAGCTGCCCCCTCACTGGCCTTATGCGGTAGGAATGCACAACAGTGCATTGGAGGGAGGTTCAGAGAGGCAGCTTCCTCCCCAGGAGGGGAGCTCAGACCCCCACCCTGCTGACCACACCCTTCACAATGCACTCCCAGTGCAGCCAAGCCCTTGCACAACGCACGCCCCTGCCCAAGCACAGCGTGGCCCCTCTGCCAGGCATCCTCTGGCAGGGCTCCTTACCATCCACCAGAAGTTCCCTTCCTCTTCAGCTGCATCACTGGCAAACAAAACAAATGCCATGTGACAGAGGCTGTTGATCTTCAGTCCTCCCAAAACAACTTTCAGACCAGTGCGCACGGGAATCCACCTCAGGGCGCCCTTTGTGCACACCTTTGGAACTACTGAGCAGAAGGACACCAAGGACGTGCGCCAAGGTTCCCTTCCTGCTCCGTCAACAAGAGCCTCTGCACAGCACTGCTTGTGTGAAAGCGAGGGTATGAAGAAAGAGAGAAGCTTTGTGCTCTTCTTGAGCTCCTTTCTGCCACAGGACCAACCAGGGGCTGGGCCTTCCCGGCATCTGGCAGAGCCACGGCCTGACTGAGGAGCCGGTCGCGCTCCCCCGCCCTGGCATCCCATGGGTGCCAGATCTCCCATGGCAGATGGCTGCCGGGTCAGTGGCTGAGATGCTCACAAAGTTACATACTTGGGGAATGTCTCACACTGGGAAACTCGCCAGGCATTCTGAAGCACAGGCCACCACCCTTTGGCTGGGAAGGTCTCATTCAGTTGCCTCAGGAAAGAAGTTCCCAAGAAAGAAAGTCACCCAGGGTCCAGCCTCCCCGACACCATTCTAGTCTGTGATCTCCACAGACACCTCGCAGGGAAGCCCGCAGGCAGCCCCCACACACGGGAGCAACACCAGAAGCTTGGCATTGGTCAGAGGGAAGCAAAAGCAGAGACTGGAGGTGAATCCATTGTGCCTCTTACTGCTTCCCTCTGAAACAGTCTTTGGGGTTCTCCCCCCACAACCCAGGGGGGTTGTGGGGCTCAGCATGGTGGGGCTGGGGCAGTGGAGATGGGTGCTGTATGCCCAGAGTCCTCCTCAGAATCAAAGAACGATGGACTGAATACTCCTTGAAGTGGCAGGGTCCGTGCAGACAATAGGACTTTTGTCTGTGTTCTTCCAAAGCCGGGTGGGGAACTCATAAAGAAGCCTGTATTTCTCAGTTATTACTGGGATTTATTTTTCTTTTTGAAAATCTGACAGATTCATTGACTCTATGTGTCTTTTAAAGTGAAGTTGTTTTAGTGGGTTGTTTTACTATATCCAGATGATTTCAAAGTCTCTTAAAGCAAAATATTACTCTCTACATACATAAGTTTCTGGGGTGCATGCAGGGTCTCTCCCCTCTAGAGTATAAGACTCATCTCAGTGCACATGCGCACACACTCACAAGACACAGGCGCTCTCCTAGTTCTCAGAAGGTAACTACAGCTGAACTGATAGCTACCACTGAGGCACAGCCATGACCAATCTGCACAAAGCTCTGCGCCTTCTGTCACACATGGTCTGTGCAGGCGCGCGCGCGCGCGCACACACACACACACACACACACACACACACACATGCCCGCCCACCTGCCCACCTCCGAATGCAGTAACTGAAGGCTGCCCTGTCTCTGCTCGGGCCAGGGCAACCGCACCACTGCAGTCTAAGCCAAGTGGGGTGGGGGTGGGGCGCTGGACCTGGAGCAGGGAGGGAGCTGGGCGCTGGAGCAAGTCTTCGTGTGACCAGAAACCAGACCAGCTAAAACCTCTCAGGCTTTAAGGGGATGTAACTGAAGGTCTTAAGGGTGAATATTTACATCTTTTTCCATTTATGGTGACAAGCCAGAATTTTATTTCTACAACTTCCTTTTTCTAAAAAAGTTTAGAAGCACAATCTACAAACAGTTGTCGAAAAATAAAGAAAACCTTTGATTTCTATTCTGTATGGAAGGGAGAAGATGAGGGTCCGAGAAATAGATAACTAGGACTGAGGAGGGTCAGGGTGGCGGGGCCTCCAGCAAAGCTCTCCCCGCCACCCCCGTTCCTACCCCATGCCCATCAGCTCTCATGCTACCATGGCTTCACTGGCCAACTCCTTCCAGCCCCCTGCCAGG